CTGGTTATTAAGCTACTGGCTCCTCACCATCACTGTAGGGGTCCGCTGCTCACCCTGATGTTTTTCCAAGCTCATACAAAATAAATCAACAAGCTGCTTTCCTTTGTTATGTTTGCCAGCTACTGCAGACTGTGACGATCATTAAAGAGCCTACTGTATACTCTCAACTCATGCCCAGTTGTAAATGAGTGACAAAACATTGGAGAACAGTAAACGGAAGTTATCCAGGCTCCATTATTAAAAAGGTTTAGTCCGCCCCTTACAAAATCCTCCATAAATACACATCATATAAAAGCTAAAAAATACCATTCAGTTTCACCCAGACACAGCAGATCTACCTTCAACAGTGAGGAGATCTTAAAATGCTGTGTAGCTACAATGGGAAAGGGAATATTAAAAGAAGTGCTAAAAATCCACGGTCATTAAATTTTAACAAAGTTGTAACTTTAAAGATCTCAGACATTAAAAATGTGATCAAATGGCAAACACTCTCTCACTTTAGATTAGAAGCATTTTTTGACCTCTTGCAGAAAAGGCAGGCAGCACAGACACTTATAATTCTCTTATTCTTCATTATAAACTTTACTTAAAATCAGCAGCAAAGTAATGGCAGTAGGCCATTAGGTTCCATTGGTTACGCTCAGTGCATTTACAGCCACTTAATTAGTCAGGTTACTGCTGGTTTTTCTGCAGTAATTTGTTTTCTTAAGAGATATATAAATGAGAAACCTGGCCTCCATAAGAGGTAGAGGGTTAGATATGGGTTAGGTATGTTTTAAACATGTTAATAGTCAGCCTCTTCTGTCTCTGTGATAAAGATAGCTGAAGTTAAGCTAAACACATCCAGTGATTTCTACACATACCATCAAAAACGCATTGAACTGGTGTAGTGTTTGTCAGATCCCTTGCCAGTTCAACTACTGGATGATCAGTATGGGTAAGTGAGCATTGATCTGTATGGGTGAGAAAGCGGCATGGAAGGAAAACAAGGCATGTTTGATACAGGGCAGCCAAACCAACAAACTACTAAATTATGGAAGTTATTCTTGTGCCATCTTTGGCTGTTGTCAAACAGCTTTAGGTGCATCTCCGTCTCCTTCTGGACTGGAGAAGGTCTGATTCTGATTTGCATGTTGCCCAGGAATACGACGTCTGCAACCAGATTTGTGATCTGACCAACAGAGGTACATATGTATACTGTACATAGCGGAGTGGAATTTTTAAATGTCTTCATGTCTCCCTTGGTTTTTGTTCAAATATGAGGCGCTTGTAAGTGTAAATGGTTATACTAAGTACTGTAGCCTATGTACAATTAATAAGTCAGCTACTACAACTAAATGTTTTAATTCATAAACATTTGCACTGTAAGGACAAACTCTACTCTCATTACACAGCCTCTCCTCTCTTTGTGCTGTTGGCCAAAATGCGTGTACACATGCACAAAAATGTGAAGCAGAATGTTAAATGCCTTTACAATAAATTACACATAGTTTAAAAATTATGGAAGATTTTAATCTAAATTAAGCCAAATCAAACAAATACAGTGACTACAGTGTACATTTCAGTGCTGCTGCTCAGAGGACAGCCAGTGAGCTAAAATACATCCATGCCCCCCCCCCCTCAAACTGTGTTAGGACAGTTGATTGTTTTTCATTTTGGCATG